TGGTTTAATGTCTTCTTTTTTATTTTTTGAGTCAAGAGTCTCACTATGTTGCCCTCAGTAGAGTCTCATGGCGTCACAGCTCACAGCAACCTCAAACTCTTAGGCTTAAGTTTGATTCTCTTGCCTCAGCCTCCCAAGTAGCTGGGACTACAGGCACCTGCCACAACACCTGGCTATTTTTTTGTTGTAGCTGTCATTGTTGTCTAGCAGGCCTGGGCCAGGTTCAAACCTGTCATCCCCAGTGTATGTGGCTGGCACCCTAACCAATGAGCTATGGGTGCCAAGCAGGATTAATGTCATATTAACTCTAATTATTAGCAAAATAAAGCTTATTCCCAGAATATATACTCTGCTTTTTATTTTTTTTAAACAGAGTCTCACTTTTCCTTGGCAGAATGCTGTAGCCTCATAGTTCACAGAAACCTCAAACTCCTGGGCTCAAGTGATCCTCTCGCCTCAGCCTCCAGAGTAGGTGGGACTACAGGTGCCCACTACAATACCCAGCTAGTTTTTTTTAAGAAACAAGGTCTCACTCTTACTCAGGCTGGTCTCAAACTGCTGAGCTCAAGCAATACTGCTGAGCTCAAGCAATCCACCAGCCAGAGTGCAGGAATATAATAAGCATGAGCCAAGGTGCCTAGACTGTACTCTCTTTTTTAAATTTGCCATTTTGCCAGCATAAATATGCAGGTTTTTAAGACTTCTGAATGACACACATAATACACTAATATTATGAAGAGCAAATGAACAACAAACCTAGGACAGACTGGCTCGGTGCCCATAGCTCAGTGAGTAGGGTGCCAGCCACATACACCAAAGTTGGCAGGATCAAACCTGGCCAGGGCCTGCTAAAGAACAATGGTAACTCCAACCAAAAAATAGTTGGGCAATGTGGCAGGCGCCTGTAGTCCCAGCTACTTGGGAGGCTGAGGCAAGAGAATCGCTTAAGTGTAAGAGTTTGAGGTTGCTGTGAGCTGTGGCGCACAGCACTCTACTGAGGGCAACATAGTGAGACCCTATCTAAAAAAAAAAAAAAAAAAAACCTAGGACAGATTCTTAGAGCAATAACTTTCAAATCAAATCAAACTTGTTTTTTTTTGGAGAAAGAATCTCATTATGTTGCCCTCGATAGAGGGCCGGGACATCACAGCTCATGGCAACCTCAAACTATTGGGCTTACACAATTCTCTTGCCTCAGCCCCCCAAGTAGCTGGGACTAAAGGCACCCACCACAACACCCAGCCATTTTTGTTGTTGTTGTCGTTGTTTAGCAGGCCCAGGCCAGGTTCAAACCCACCCTGCATGTGGCCACACCCTAACCACTGAGTTATGGGCACCAAGTCAACCAAATCAAGCTTGTTACTTATGTTTCCCTGTAAAAGAAATCAGAATCCCTTCTTACTCTGTGACCACAACTATTCTGTATTTTGGCTTAAGCAGATTAAGTGACATTATGTAAGATATATAAATAAAGGCCCAGATTCTATTTCCAAGAGCCTCCCAAACTGCATGTTAATTGACTATACTCTTTCCTTTTCTGGATGGTCACATTAAAATAGTCTTCATGCTATTTTTGTTGTACTCTTTAATATAAATACTGCTAGATGACAGAATAAAAATTAATGAGATGACTGTCCACTAACACTTCGAGCCACTACACAGAAGAATTAAGTGCTCAAAGCACTGCATACTCTGCCTGTGTTCCACAAATGAAACTTGGTCAGTGATCAAGGAAGGATAAAATGTTTGTATATAACACACAAATCTAAATATTTTATATCTCTTTATGTTCTAAGTATTTCTTTATATTAAAAAAAACTGTTATGTAGTTACTACTTTTTCTAATGTCTTCCATGTACTTTTTGTTTTGTGTTCACTTTGAAAACTTTCCTTTTTTTGAAGACAGAGTCACATTCTGTTCCTCATGGCTTGAGTGCTATGGAGTCGACCACCTCAAACTCCTGGGTTCAGGTGATCCATCATTCTGCTTCAGCCTCCCAAGTAGCTGGGAACTACACGCTCCCACCACAATGCCCATGACACTCGGCTAATTTTTCTGTTTTTCTTAGAGACAGGGTCTCACTCTTGCTCAGGCTGGTCCTCAAACTCCTGAGCTCAAGCAATTCACCCACTTCAGCCTCATAAGAGTGTTAGGATTACAGGCATGAACCTGAACCGAAACCTCAGGCCAAGAAGTGCTTTTCAACTGACTTTTTTTTTTTTTTTTTTGGAGACAGAGCCTCAAGCTATCCCCCTGGGTAGAGGCTATGGCATCACAGCTCACAGCAACCTCCAACTCCTGGGCTCAAGTGAGTCTCCTGCCTCTGCCTTCAAGTAGCTGGGACCACAGGCACCCGCCACAATGCCCGGCTATTTTTTGGTTGCAGCCGTCATTGTTGTTTGGTGGGCCCGGGCTGGATTCAAACCTACCACCTTAGGTGTATGTGGCTGGTACCTTAGCCACTTGAGCCACAGGCGCCGAGCCTCAACTGACTTTTGGGTTAGATACTCCCAGAGATGGGGTGGAGTCCCAATAATACCCCTGAGGCTCTCAGAACAGTGCTCTTTCTTGGCACAGCAGAGGCTCAATCAATCACTCAATCTGTTTCAAAGACCTGTAACTCAGATTAACCTGATTCTACCCATATGCAAACAATTGTACACAATGAAAACTGGATCACACTACATTCTGACCTTGGGGAACAGAGCTTATTTCTGTGATTTATGCAAGGAACAAACCAGCTTTTCAGCAAATGGGTTTGGAGCAAAGCTTGCTTGTCCTCTACCTTTATCTTCCCTTCCCTTCACTGCCCAAAGGCATGTGTCAAAATCTCAGAGGGAGAGAGGCCCTTTAATTTCCACGCATGCCCACTGACTTCTTTTGTTCTTCTAGGAATGGACAGTGCACTAAGGATCTGACAAGAACCTTTGGCAAGAACTAGGTGACCTTCACATCACTGCCTAAATACAGGTTTTTGAGAACTGTAACCAAGAGCCAAGAAAGGGTGCTCCATATACCCACACACCATGTTACACAGGGCCTTCTAGGAATTCACAATCTACCACGTGCACTGTGGTGTGGCCATATATGTTAACCAGCCACCTCAATTCACGCACCCGCCTACCACCTCCACTCAAAATGTCCTATGAGCTCCTATCTGTATCAATGCTGGGCACATACTGTTAAACAATGTTTGAGTTTCACCCGTGGGTCTATGCCTAGGTTCTTTACGTTACTCACATAGCAGACTCTCAGCTGACTATTTTTAGTTTAAAAAGTTAGGTATGGCAAACAAAAACCTTCTACCCCTCTATTCCCTTTTCTCTCCATAGAACGTTCAAATTTCTCGTTCTGTGGGATTTCACCATTTTAACCACTCATGATTTGTTGGAAGAACTCCTTAAGCTTCTGGCAAATCTAGAGGACTCACTTTTCTCCCCAGGGTAGCTGATCCCACAAAGAACAGAGAGCACCAGCAATTCTCCCAACAACAATGCTTCAAGTGTTCTCAATCTCCAAGGACAGAAAGGAGTTAATGAGATCATACCACAATCTAGGGGTTAAGTTCCCCAGGTGATGCCTGAGTGGAGACTGGGTGCCAGTGTTCAGCAGACACCAGCGGGGGAAGACATGTGTCAAGGTCTTGACTATATGTTGCATAAAACAAAAGATGAACGTCTTGGTTCACAGAGACACAGATAACAGTGACTCATGATGCAATAGCGCTGGTTGAGAGGCTGCCCAGAGATACCCTGAGGGCATTTTAGAAAAAAAAAAAAACTGGGCAATTGTGGTATAAGAACATGATTAAGGATTAGTCATTCCAGAAATGCAGTCTTTCAAACTTTCGATTTTATGTCTTGAACATCAGAAAATCTGGCTCATCAGAAAAGACTACTTCAGTATCATGCAAAGGAACAACACAGCTACTAAAGAACTTATTAAATCAAATCCACCCCCTTCTTTAGGGCATAGGATCCCAATTCAACATTTTCAAAAAATATCTTAGACTTTAAAACAATTCACTCGCTAATATAAACAATGGCTTCCCACCCAGTTTCTGGCTGGAAGTACCTTTTTCTGACTTTCTTTTTCTTTCTTTTTTTTTTTTGTGAGACGGAGCCTCAAGCTATCCCCCTGGGTAGAGTGCTATGGCATCACACTCACAGCAACCTCCAACTCCTGGGCTCAAGCGAGTCTCCTGCCTCAGCCCCCCAAGCAGCTGGGACCACAGGCGCACGCCACAACGCCTGGCCATTTTTTTTTGGTTGCAGCCATCATTGTTGCCCGGCGGGCCGGGCTGGGGATTCGAACCCGCCACCTTAGGTGTATGTGGCTGGCGCCCTAGCCGCTTGAGCCACAGGCGCCGAGCCCTTTTTCTGACTTTCAAACCTATCCTACAACACAGGGGAACCATGTCATAATTTCCTCATTTTCTGAAACTTTGTCACCTGAATCAGAAAAGATTTAAAAGCAATTCAGGCAAGTAATTATTTAAGAGAATTTGGCAACTCTCAATGTTGTACATGACCCTCCCTAAAGAGATGGGAATTTAACAAACACAAAGGTTTAAATTACCAGGGCTGTTTTAGCCAAGAAAGAGTTCAAAACTGAACCTTGCATAAAATCCCCCATGCTCACCAATAAATAAATAAATGTGTACAGGAAAGGTCTCTATCTAAAAAGCATTAAGTGTCTCGTCTTTCTGCAGTCCTGGCTAGAAAGTGCAAATGTCTACCTGTATGTGGATGGGACATGGAATTGATGTGATGGGGGCCCAGTAACTCTGGCCACATTCCTGTCATCTTCACAAGATCATTAGAACTCTACCAGGGATATTTGCATGGATGTCACATGAGCGCGTATAAATCACTACTCCATACCTTCCAGCCCCACCACCACATACACACACCACTGGAGTCTGCATCTACACAAGCCATCTCACTGAAAGGGGAAAAGGTTTCAAGTGGGAATCAGTGAAGGGCAGGGGAGGGCTCACCTGGATTGCCTGTCGACCTTGTTGGGCGTCAGCCAGCAGCTGAATCGTGAGTGCCCTTGAGTCCTGCAGCGCCTCCTGGAGGTAGATGAAGCTGTGGCCCCCATGCCGGCCCATTGTGCATTCCCGACAGATGGGCACAGAGCAAGTGTCACAATACAGATGCAGCACCTGGGGACAAGAGAGGGGACAGGCACATATGAGAGATGCAGGATGACAGGAAGTGGGTAGATAGTAAGAGTGGTGCCCTGAATCCTAGATCCTGAACCGTCCACTTCCCAACAAGCAAGCACACCCCTTCAAGGAAAGGGCAGCGGATGTAGTAATTGCAAACACAACCAGAAGTGCCCACTTGCTCATCTTTTCCATCCCCCATGCCCTAAATCAAGAGGAAAAAATAGCCAATTGGCATATCCCACTGTCGTCTTATTCAGAACTATAACTGAGACACTTCAGAGGTAGGGATCCTGTATTTTACGTCAATTATTCAGAAAAGTTGTAAGATTATGCTCCTGGGTCTGGGATTAGTGGCCTGAATGAAAGAACATACCAGGAAAGTTTCTTGTGCAAAGCCAGCCTGGATATGGAAAGGAAGTTGAAGAGCCAGTAAAAATCACCCTCACCTCACAGCTTGTTGGCTCATCAAAGGAGATTAGTGCAAAGGGTGGTTCTCCCAGACCCTCAAACAGGCTATCAGCTTTAAGCTTTTGGAAAGAAGGCAAGGCTAGTGGTTAAGTCCAGCTAGCTTCTTGCCTTTCTTCTTCCTGCCAAATTATTCCAAGGAGGTGAACCAGAGGCAGCCAGAGCTGACAGACCTGCTTTATGCGATGTTATACACTTCTCCGGGGCCAAGGAGAGAGGGAGGGGTTGGCACAGCCCTCACCTGCTGATAAGGAGCTCTCAAGAGAGAAAGCTCCTTGGCACAGAAACTGGGCCAGTCTCATTATTGTGTATCTCCCTGCAGAGCAGGGCACTCAGCGCCACTCTCTGTAAATGTTTGCTGGATTGCTTTCAAGACCAGAGTTTAAATTTGCCTCTGGTACACCTGGGTGTTAGAGAAAGCTCCCTAACACACAACAGGCCATGTGCAAGGAGGAATCAATCTTTACATATGCAACAAAATACTTAATCTCCAGGGGAAGAGAGCACTTATAAGGTGCTCAGGGCCACACAGCAAGTACACAGCAGGGAAGCCAAGAGGAGTCTTCAGAAGAGAGGGTTCCAATACATGGGTGGTCCTGGCTACCTCGAGAAGTACTGAGCACTTTGCTGGGTATTGTAGAGATCCAGGATGCAAAAAACTCCAGTTATCTGCATAGACCTCCCGAATAGCAGCTCATTCTGGCCCAGAAGCAGGACGATTGTTGCATAAGATAAAAGGAGACCTGGAGGTAGCCCTGAGGGCCCAAAATCCTAGAGGCAAACAGAGGGAGAATTTTGTTTCTCTCCTCCTCCAAAGTTTTTATTTTACTAACCAACCAAATGCTTGGCAGAAAGCATGTCCACTAGAAAAACGCTCCCCTAAATAAGTCAAGGAAAGCGGTTGCTCCACTGAAAGTTAACTAACTGATTTAATAGGTTAGTGTGTAATTTACCACAGGTTAAGCTGCTTCTCTGGAAACTTAGATTCAGAAATAGGAAAAAGATTAGTATATTATGGTCTTTATTGTAAATAAATTGCTTTGATACAGTGCGTTTTACGAGTCCTGCTTTATGACAAGGGAAATGTGGTAAGATTTGCAATTTACTACCAGTTTTGATCACCGCAGTCCTCTTTTAGCAACATTAAGAGGCTGAAACGAGGTGGTGGTGGTTCCCTCCCCCCCTTTTAAGGCCAATTCCTTTTTAAGCAGACCTACTCTGTAGAGAAGTAACCCTTCCAATTGTGCAGATCTAAAATTCTCAAGTAAAATTCTAACCAAAAAACAGTAAGCTGGATAAAATTCAGGAACAATTCCTGGACAATCTCTTTGTTTTAGATGTATGCTAAAAAGCAACTCTGCCGGTTTCAACCACATTCCTTCCCTTTGCTCTCTCCATTTGTCATGGGAATAAAGGATTGCTCCTATGCTAATGTGAAGTGTGAAAGCCTTCCATCAGAAGGTTCCTTTTAAATTTGAATAAAACATGCCTCTGACCTTCTGTGGCCTCCCGCATTTTACCCAACAGCTAACCTTAACCTGAAAACACATCTCTTTTCTTTTCCTCTCCTCTGGACATATGTGTGGACTGACTGGTGCCCCCTTGCTTGTGGGCTCATGCGACTGTTACCGACTGGCTTGTTAGCTTACCCTCACCTCTACAGCCAGGGCGTGGGGAAGAACTTTAGGCTATTAACCTGAGCCTGGAGCTAGTTATCTAGGTGAGGGACCATCTACCTAGGTACCTCTCTTGAAATGGGTGGGCTTCAGTCTCATCTGTGAAACACACGGGGGTCTGATTAGGTATATATCTCAGGAGACTCCTTCGACGCCTAAAATCCCAGGAATGTATCTTTAGAGACTTGACCACAGAAACACTCAGAGTAATTCTGGACTGAGCCAGAAGGCTGGGCTCCAGGTTTCACTCGTACAATCCAAGAAATTAAGATGATTCTTCTTAGCTTTGGATTGTTCACCTTAAAAATATAAGGTGCAGCTGATAGGAGATACCCCTGTAGGTTTTAAAGTATTCTGCAGATACACTAGCAAAAAAAAAGAAATCCTGGTCACAACAGGTGGCAGCAGAGCAGACAAAGGCAAAGTGCCTGAGCCTCTGGCCCCCTGGGCCCTCCTGCCTCCTAAGCCTTGAAAGTAGAGAGTATAGCTAAATGGCTAAAAGAGGTGCATGGATGCAATCCCTGTCTGCATCATCTCACACTGTATCAACACAGCTCTGAGTAGCCAGAATTGTGGATTCAGAAGAACCAGTGCTTTTGCAGTTCCAGGCTGCTTGCACACAGGTGGGGGTGGGGAGGCAGTTGATACTAAAAAGCTACAGGTGTGGCTTAGTACCCGTAGCACAGTGGGTGCGGCGCTGGCCAAATGCACCGAAGCTGGTGGGTTCGAGCCTGGCTCAGGCCAGTTAACTAACAATGACAACTGCAACAGAACAAATAGCCAGGCGTTATGGCGGGGCGCCTGTAGTCCCAGCTACTAGGGAGGCTGAGGCAAGAGAATCACTTAAGCCCAAGAGTTGGAGGTTGCTGTGAGCTGTGGTGCCACTGCACTCTACCGAGGGCAACGTACTAAGACTCCATCTCAAAAAAAAAAAAAAAAGCCATGGGTGAGTGAATAAAAGAATATCCTCAATGTACTTGTCGTTAATAAACTATGAATATTTTTTTTAATGCATCGTTCCCTAACAGTAAAATGGGTTTAATTATTTATAAGCCTTCCAACTGAAAGCTGGGGTAAAACTTTGGGTAAAGTCTATATTTCACTAGAAGCTCTACTTCTCACCTACCCCCAATTTCTAAGATTGATAAACAATTTTAGAGCTGGTGAAACAAGATCAATAGGTAAGGGATATTAATGGATGTGATTCTCTGAGAGAAACAGCTAGAAGATTAAAAGAATAAATGGAGGCTGTATAGAGAGAGGGTCCTATGGCTAGAAATGTGGGAGCAGCCACGAACGATGGCTCCCGGGATGAGGAAGAAGAGAGGTCCTCTGGCGGCAGGAATTCCAGGCCCTGGTTGGGGCTTCCCGGGCAGATGCATGGACACGCCCCCTCAGGCCTGGCGACAATCTGGCTGCCCCAGCTAAATGGAGCAGGCTTGACCTCTGACCCTGCAAGTGACCACCCTCTTCCCTGCCCCCAGCTTCCAGAACGTCCCACCCACTGCCTTCCTCTCCCAAAATTTCTAAAATACCAAGCAGAGACAAAGACCTAGGAATGTGGGCCCAGCAGGAAAGGAATTGCAGGAAGGAGGAGGTTAGAGGAAAAATAAATAAATAAAAATACAAAGTAGGCATGTCTGCCTTAGCCAGTGTTTAAATGAAATGTTTTGTTAATGAATGTGTGTGTGTGCATGCATGCACATGTGTGTGCTCCCAAAATCTAGTTCTTATGCTACCTGTGGTGCAACAACGAACACACACCAAGGGATTCCTTTTAAAGAGCCCCACACATCGGAGAGTAAGCATCAAGTTTAAAATACAGCTACTCACATCAGTGTCTTAAGCATGTAAACTGAAAGGATGAATGGAGGCCCTGGGTTACCATTTAAAGTTAGTCGAAATGCCTCAAGTGAAATATATCAACTACTATAATTTTTTTTTAGTTTAGTTCGCCATCCTTTACCACGACTGAAGACATTAACTTGGCCTCCCACAAACTAAGGCTGAACTCGGCTGCCTGGACAGGAGGTCTCCGCCCACCCAAGAGGGTTTCTGAGTTTCTCACTACAGAAATTAAGGGGCACTGACGACCCATTCCAGAAGCAACACAGGCCCACAAGCCTTACCTGTGTGTGTTACTCTGCAGGCTCTCACAAGGGACAACAGAGGACTCATTCAAATAATGGTAAACCGAGTGCTAGGCACAAAGCCTAGCCATGAAATGAAGTCTATTAAGTAATATTAAAATCAAGCATTATTTGAATGCTCTAACAACCCGCAGTTCAGAAAAGAAAATCAAACTAAGAAGCAAAAGCTGCTCCAGATGAGAAGAAATCAGCGAAAGAAAATAGTTAACTCGATACCAATGGAGAAACCAATCAAAATGAGAATTTTGAAATGACTGATAAAGAATTTCAAATATGGATTGTCAGGAAGCTCAATGAAATACAGAAGAAAATAGAAATCCACTAAAACCTGCAGTCCAAACCCTGAGAAGCCCATCCAGCACCTCTGGCCATGTGCTGCCTCACAGTTGTGGCTTAAGAAACAATAAGGCCTTGCTTCACATGCACAATCACTACTAGTTCAAGACAACAGATTCCAGCTGGGGACAAATTATCCTTTTTAGTTGACTGAGGGAGGGACCAAAATTTTTTATTTAAGTAGGTAACACTTATCCATTTGTTCAAACAGATTTTTTTTTTTTGAGACAGTCTCATTCTGTCACCCTGGATTAGAGTGCCATGGCATCACAACTCAAAGCAACCTCCAACTCTTGGGCTTACGCGATCTCTC